CGGAAATGGATAAAGCGGACGCAAAGAACGCAGTCGAGGAGTATGTCTACGACTTGCGCAACCGGCTCAGCAATGAGTTGGAAAAGTTTATCAAAAAGCAGGTACGTTAAGTCTTCTTTTTTCAAGGCTCTTAGTTCTACTTTTACTTTGCCCTCCAAAGGAAGTTTCTAATATGCCTAAGCACTAATGTTAAGCTAAAATCTATAATACATTTTTGTTTCGTTTAAATGGGTTTGTGACGAATCGGTGTGCAGCTTTCTACGTTTCCTATGTAAATGGTGATTGTTTAATATGCAGCTCTCTATCTACTGTGTTCATCTTGCAACCTGGGCAGAAATTTAGCATTCTTAGACAGGCAGTCAGTCAAATTGGACATTGCTGCGCCAATCACGGTTCACCATCGAAACGGAAAGGGGGAAATTCCACATTGAGATGTATGATCATGGAATCAACTCTAGGATACATACTGCTGATTTCTTAATAAATCTATTTAAATAGTTAAATTTGAACTTAGTGTACAATGCTTTCGGATGAATAGCAGTAAATATGTTGTTTTTTCTTTCCTTCTTGAACAGCGAATTAAGTAGGAAACGAACAGAAGATTTATTACAGTTGGGATGTTCGTCTCCCTTACAGTTTTATTATGGATGGTACTTTTGAATAGAAGTTGTATTTAATGACATCAGGTCTTTCAGGCAGGATTGACATTTATTTTTGATGGTAATATATTCAAATCTGCGCAGTAGTACTGAAGAACGAACTGAGCAATAGTGCAAAACTGCTTCCCGTCAACTCTGTCGACGCAGTGATTATCAGCTATGCTCACGAGTGATCGATAGTGTTACTGTTACAGAAACGGCATGAATGAAATTTTTACTGTAGATTGATTCTATGTTGAGGCTGAGTTGGCTAATACGAGATATCCTCGCATGCGAGCCGTCCTTTGAAAAAGACATCTAGACATCGCTATTACGATGGTTTGTATACGTTGTCAACATGTCAGACGAGATACATTGTGGACTTTTTTTCGTAAAGCCACATTAAGCACCAAGCGACTCGAGTACGTTGAGTAGTTGACATTGTTTGCTTTGCTATCTTATTCGACTGGTGAATTACCAGAATCATCGAAGATGCCTTATAAAGTTATTACCATGACAACTCACGGGCCAAATCAATCACTGTGTGTAGCAGGTTTCCTATTGCAGTACAGTTTTTTTACACTGACCTGCTCTGGCGTAAAATAACAGACCACAGACAGCGAAGT